GATCCTCCACAGATCCATTTGCGTTTAATACACTGAGTCTGATACTTTGGAATTTTATCTGTTGAAGTTGAAGGACAATTAAAAGAGATTATTCTAAGTCGACTGTTGAAGAACAGCCAAAGCAGATTATCGTGACTCGTAAAGGAATGTTGGATCCTCCATAGGTCCAATAGCTTGATTGAACAAATATTTTTGAAGTTTCCTCCATACCAATTTGAGTTGCGGAAGAAACAAATACATACCATTGTTGCAGTGTGAAAACCAAACCATGAAATGTTTTCCCAATACTAGCAGAACAGGTTTTCGTATTATAAGTCATAATGTCATAATGACTTATAATTCCAATAAACCAAGTCAAATGGTCAATGGTCACGACTGAATGTAATCCCGTCGCTTCGAGTACTGGATTCAGAAAATGATGTTGTGTTGAATTCATATTGTCATTATGTCTTCCAATACTATAATAAAATCGTTTTCACATGCTTTGCGAAATTAATAGTTCCCCATAATCTAAAATTGAATGCTAATCCTTAGATATGCATTCCCTAATAGAACTAATTGACTTTGTAAATAATAATAATAATAATAATAATAATAATAATAATAATAATAATAATAATAATAATAATAAGTGAAAATACTTAACTATGTTTGGCATTTGCATTTGTTAATCGTCATCGTGTATATTTGTATTGTCTTTTTGAAAATTAAAATCTGATGTTTATTGTTCTGTATTAATCCGTTGTCATTGATATTCTGTATTAATCCGTTGTCATTAATAATAATACGGAGTAATTTGTAAGAAAACTTTTTTTCTTACGAGTACTATTTTTGTTTTAAATAAAAATAATTATAATAATAAAAGTAAAAATAATTATAATAATAATAAAAATAAAAATAATTATAATAATAAAAATAAAAATAATTATATTATTAATTTATTTCAGTTTGCACTTTTGTTTTAGAGATATATTAATATTAATAATTAGAATAATCCTAATAGTAATAATCAGGCCGATGTCAACGCTTGGAAAGGCTATGAAGGTATACCTCCTCCGGCTGTCGAGAAATAAATAATATTAATAATAATAAAATTTATATATGAATTATTTACGTATGTTTTATAATAATAACCATATATAATGTATTTTTTTTAATATGATTTTATTAATGATATGATAAAATTAATAATATCACGTTTGTATTAACCATATATAATATAATTTTTTTTTACTAATAATAATATTAACAGTATTATTGTTTATGTATGTTACATCTGTCAAAGTAATAATAATAAGACTAGAGCAATTGAATACAACTTAAGACAGAGAAGAACAAATAAACCTTAATGTCGATATCAATTAATGTGATTTAGAAAGAAAATAATGAAACAAAATAATACTTAATGTGATTTAGTAGGAAGGTAAAGAAAATAAGAACTAATGGCCCGTACTCATACTTAACATGATTAACATGATGTAATTATTCAATGTAATTCATTCATATGCGTAACTATTTTTGTTTCAATTCATATGCGTAACATGATGTAATTATTCAATGTAATTCATTCATATGATGTAGGAAGGCAACTATTTTTGTTTCAATTATAATTTCACATGGAAAGGTTAAATAAACAAAAAAAAAATTTATAGTTAATTTGTAGTTCTTTTAAGTGAAGTTTGAAGTTATAATTCAATACTAAACATACGAAAACAGAGTATTAAAAACAAAATGATCAAACAAAATATAAAGTAAAATTATTATTATTATTATTAATTAAACAAAAAATTATATTTAAAAAACAAAAAAAAATTACAAAACAAGCCTATGGGGCTTGTGCAGGAGGAACCCTTTCCACGTTCTCAGCTAGAAAAAATGCGAACGTGAAAAAAGCCCCCTCCTGTGTAGTAGACTTTTAAAATCTCCTCGGTCACGATGGCATTGTCCGTAACGAACGTATCCCATCCTTCATCAAAGAACACAGACCGGGTAGAAGGAACGTCAGCCCCAAGGAGGGTCACATGCCATGCACGCCCCGTCTTCCCACGTTTAACCCTGACTCCATTTAAATAGCGAGAAAACAAATCTCTCCAGTCAGCAGGGAGCGCCTGCACAATTACAATCGTTCCTTAAATAACACATGCAAGAACAAATAATTTGGTAATAACATTAAGTGAAGTACTTCTTACCAAATGGTTCATCATGTGGTCCTTGTAGGTTATGGTAGTGCATGTCATACCTTCATAGCCATCCTCCATTTTTTTGCTTGATTGATAAGAGATATAATCTAAGAATGAGATTGTGTTGATGTAAAGATATAATCTATTCTTAAATAGTAAAGAGGATGCCAATAACACCGGATGACAACTGAAATTAGATTGGGTGCAATGAATTTTCGTCAAACATGGGAACACTAAACAAGCGTTGACAGTGTTCATTTTCCAGGATGACAGTAAAACGAGTTCCCTTTGACCATTACGAAATAAAAATCTTTCCAAATTATTATTATTATTATTATTATTATTAATATTGTCATTACAAATAAAAAAATTATGAATATTATGGTCACGAGTACTTTTATTGATACTATTTTTAGTGACAATTAGATATCGGTCTTATTATTATTATTATTTGTATTGGATATGTTCAAGAAATTAGGATGGATTTATTATTATTAGATATCGGATATGTTCAAGCGTTGATACTTTTCTAAAAGACAGTTTTTACGTATTTGTGGCCGATAATAGATGCGAAATAGTTTTCTTATTATTTATTACTATTATTATTTATTATTATTATTATTATTATTATTATTATTATTATTTATTATTTTTATTATTATTATTATTATTTATTATTATTATTATTATTATTATTATTATTATTATTATTATTATTATTATTATTATTATTATTATTATTATTATTATTATTATTATTATTATTATTATTAAGGCCCAGTTTTATATAAGGGTGAGCTCTGTCAGGCCCAGTTCTTTTCCATTATAGTGTGCCCAGTTTTATATGGGCCAACATTGTATAAGGTCCGATAAGGGCCAACTTTCATTGTATAAGGGGCCAAGCTTTCTTTCTTTTTATAAGATGTCTTTGTATAAGGGGCCAGCTTTCATTGTATAGACCTTATCATACATATATCAAATATTGTCATTAGTGTGTATTGTTATTGTCTACATTGTGTATGTACAAATAATACTAATTAGCTGAACAAAACAAAATCATTCCTCATTATTAATTGCAAAACAAATTGTATCTTATAGTTCTTGTAGGTTGTTGTTATATTACTTACACATTTGCCCAATAAAGTTTACTCTGAATTGCTAAAGTTCTAAAGTTATTAAAAGTAAATAACCATGTTCAGTCCCAAATTTTACTTCCCAAAAAAATACACCAAACCACCATTGATCTGCAAATGAAAATCAATTGATAGGAGGTTGAAGTAGCCGCAGAACATCTTCCCTCGATTCATTAAACTCTGACAAGAGGTCTTCACACACAACCCAAGACCTCTCAAATGTCATATCGGGAAACTGGAAGATTAGGATTGTGATTAGAAGATACAATAACAACATTACAAATTGAAAATAAATTAAAAGGCAAAACAAAGTCGAACTCACTTCGGCCATCTCCGATAACAACTTGTCAGCGTTGCGCTTAATCGCTATCAGCATATGGATTCCACGGCTATTTCTGGTTGGAATAAAAATTGGCAATTATAATGATTATTGATTATTAAGATAGAAGTTGTATGTACACCCGTAAGCAAAGGCAAAAGAACATGAATAGAAGCTTACAAGTCTCCCTGACTTTTCATATTGAGGGATGTCCTTGGCCAATTATAAATGGTTCCTGTTCGCCAATCTTTGTCCATATTCTGAAATGCAAGATCCATTGTTGCAGCTTGAAATGAAGTACTAGTTAACTTACTTACTTCTAAAATTAATAGATGCATACTAGAATTCATAAGTTTATATGCATTTTATTCCCACCAGGTGGTCTACTTTGCATTTTCTGCGAGAAGCCGCATTCGTAGTCAAAATTGAATCAATAATAAGGACCTCCTGTCTGTTAATTGAAAATGCAGCGCACCACCAGTGGTGTTCTCGAAGAGCTGGGACAAATATCTATGCAAAAGGACTTGTAATACACAGAAGTAGACCTTTGATAGAGTACATACAGTACATATATAAGCAAATAAATAGTTGCAAACTCATACCACATTGATTCTGGTTGACCCGGTTGGGTACATGTAGTGAGTGTAACTTTTTACTAACTTAATGACCTCTAGGTTCACCAGTTCTTTGACCTTTTTGGTATTGGTATGGGCCTGCAAAACCAACATCTAAAAATAATAATATGTCAGTGTGTTGGGCATACAAAACCAACATCTATCAATCAAAAGTAGGTAATGAAGGAATAAGTGGTAACTGCAAATGCGGGATCAGTCATAAATCGCCTACTGCGACCGGGGAATTTCCTCTCCCACACCTTTTCATAAACGCGTCCCGCAACCCTGACATATTATATAAGGAACACTTGTCAATGATTATAGTTATAGTTACTAACAACAAATTATATAATGAAAACAATTGAATTAAGCATCGTACCTGATCACTGACCTCCCCAAAATTATGTATCAAATGGCCACATAAAGTAAGTTTGACATAGTCAACTTTGCAATTAAAGAACGTCGGTTCATTCCTGCATCGAATCACATGAATATAAGCATCATTTACACAATGAAAGGAAACAATAAACATTTTCAACATTAAGATGATCAATTGTCAAGATTTTCAAGGCTATACATACTCATCATTTCTAATCTTTCTTGTGCTGAATGACATGTGCTCATCGAAATAATCACGCAAAGGTACCCTGAAACGACGAATACCCTTTGGCCGCCATTGATTGATATACGATACAGGTAGGGTAAGAGGCTCTGATATCTTCCTCTGTTTCCTACTGAGTTGGTGCCTCTTATTCTACACATTTGTAGTCTGTGATTCATCTTCAGAGTCATAGGTGGTAGAAGCTTCGCAATACTCAAGGCTCTTCGGGATAACGCTATCTATCCCCTTTGCTGCATCGGCTACACCTTCACTAGCCTTTGCCTTTGACAATTTGGGTAGCTCCTCTTCTGCTGTTGGAACATCCTTGTTCTCTTCACCTTCACCTTCCCCTTTTGGAACATCCTTATGAACACCACCTTCAACATCAGCATCCCCCTTTGGAACATCCTTGTTCTCAACATCAGGGATACCTTCCCCCCTATAAACATCACCTTCAACATCACCTTCCCCCCTTTGGAACATCAAATGCTGAAGCACCACCAACAACATCAGCTTCATGACTTACAACCAGGTACTTGCTTTCACTAAACTGCGAGCCCGTACTACTTAAAGGTGCATCAACCAAAGACTGGTCTACACCAAAATTTTTAACAATCGCATCAATGAATGATTGATCTAGTTCTGACTTATCACTTGTGAACTCAATGTTCATGACATGACTTGGTTGGTCAGTTGATGGTTCCTTCTCTAGCTCCTTCCCAACCTCTGGCTCGGGCTCCTTCTCAGACTTCTTCTCAAGATCCTTCTCAGCCTCCTTATGTAGTTCCTTCCCAACCTCTAGCTTAGGCTCCTTCTCAGCCTCCTTCTTAGCCTCCTTCTCTAGCTCCTTCTGATCAGGTTCCTTCTCTAGATCAGGCTCCTTCTCTAGCCTAAGCTGCTTCTCAGGCTCCTTCTCAAGTTCCTTCTCTAGCTCATGATCCTTCTCAGGCTTCTTCTCAAGATCCTTCGCAAGCTCATGCTCATTGTCATTCTCTTTCTCTTCTTTCCCTTGCTCTCCTCCTCCATTTCTTCTTCTGAAATAATATATTATTAATCATAATGACAATGTAAATTTAAAAAATGACAATAAAATGTTGCAATAGTATAAAAATATCTATTCACCATCACCCTTTTTGTTGTCCTTATTATTCCTCCTCCTCTTGTTGTTCTTCTTCTTGTTCACTTTTACCTCACTCTCTTTCTCTTTCTTGCTCTCCTCCTCCTTGTTTTCTACAAATTCATAACCAATTAAAAAAAAAATCATTTAATGAGACAATTACTGAGACACAAAGCCAATTGGAAAACATGTTTAATTTCACAAGAATATGACATTACCTAATGACTTCTTTTTCTTGTTGTCATCCTTACTTTCTTCTTCTTCTTCTTTCTTCTTCTTCTTCTTCTTCTTCTTCTTCTTCTTCTTCTTCTTCTTCTTCTTCTTCTTCTTCTCTTCTTCTCCTTCTTCTTCTTCTCCTTCTTCTCCTTCTCCTCTTCTCCTTCTTCTCCTTCTTCTTCTTCTTCTTCTTCTTCTTCTTCTTCTTCTTCTTCTTCTTCTTCTTCTTCTTCTTTTTTTTTCTTCTTCTTCTTTCTTCTTCTTCTTCTTCTTCTTCTTCTTCTTCTTCTTCTTCTTCTTCTTTGTACTCACTCTTCCTCCTTCTTCTTCAGGGTCCTCATTCAGTACTTCTTTATTACAACAAAAAATTGAAACAATTATATAACTAACTATGAACCGCTATGAACCAAACCGTACCAATAACACGAGAAAATTATGTAATTACCTCCTAGCTTCTTTTTCTTCCTTTGAAAGGAATACTCTTCTTTAACCAGAGTTCTTCTGGTTTTCACATCTATGGTAAGCCATGCCAAATCCTCATCATCAATATCAGCTACTACTTCATCCGCCTCCTTTCTTTTCACTACTACAAAAGTTGTCTTAGGTAACACCAAATGGTATTACTTTGAAGGTTAGAACCTTAACTAATTCATAAGTAACACTTTTGTAACACTTTGATATCTTGTAACACTTGATGGTAACACTTTGATATCTAGTAACACTTGATTGTAACACTTTGATAATTAGTAACACTTTATTGTAACACTTTGATAATTTGATATTAAGTAGCACTTTATTGTAACACTTTAATTTTTGGTACCAGTTGGTCATATTTAAATTTTAAATTAGGAATAATCATTTGACCGTATTACTATTATATACTTCGCATAATATTAACAGTTTAATTGTAAGCTTTACTTGTAATTAATATTTTACAACTACTAGTAGAAAAACACAAATGGATACCAAATCTAGAATAAAAAAGCCACCTTAAAAGGGTTCCAACCCGTACCTTGTAGGTTATGGACACTGGTTTTTACCAAGTATCCCCAAAATATATAGAAGACTCCACCCGTACCCCTCTTTTATCTCTCTAAGTCTTGACTCCACCATAGGCCTGGCCACTCTATCGCTCTCTCTCTCTCTCTCTGTCTCTTCTCCCTCCTCATTCACAAGTGGCGGCGATGGTGGTGGCGATAGTGAAGGTGGTCACAACGATGGTGCTTCGAATTCAAGGGTTTCAATTGGTCGTCATGGTATGATTTTCTTCAAACTTTCCCCTTTAAATTCCAAATTTTGGGCTCTTTTATATAATTACTAGTTCAAATCTTAGGTTTTGTTAAATAAAGGTTTAGATCCTAAGTGTGGTCTTACCTATGTTTTCCAGAAGTCTGGTGGTGAAACTGGTGATTGATTTAGAGTTTCAAAGAATTTGAGGGGTTTTTATTACTTTTCTCATTAACGGTTTTAATCGATTTTTGATAGCTTAGTATTTGGATATTTACTTTTTATCGTCAAACTTATGATTTGTTGATTATTGATTACTATCACAAGATTAAGTAATTTCTAATTAGTTTTACAAGGGTTTATATAGATCAGCTTTTTTAATAGTTAACAGCATTGAAATTTTGTGAATTCTGCTTGGTTTGAGGTGCTTAATCCCATCCTGTTGTCTATCCTATTCTGGCATGAGGAGAAATTAATTCAAAATGGCTATATGATTGCAAAATTAGACATTTCCATGATTGCAAAGTTAGGGGATTCAAAATGGCATGTTTTTTCTATTTTTGTTTAATCACATGTTTTTAAGGATAGTAATGGTAATTGGTAAGTTCCATGGAATAATTATAGGTGCATGGAGAAGATGAATGGTCGTTTGGGTATTGTGAACAAGGAACTGGAGTCTTTAGCTGCCCTGCTACAAAAAACCCCATGTATACATACCATGAAAAAATTGTTCTTGGACAAACCAACCTTTCTGTCTCCAAGGTTAATCAGATCTTGAGGGAACTGAGTTAGAGAGTGGCTAGGGGAATCCTATGATTTGCTCGCACGAAATTGCAATCAATTCTGTGATGATTTATGTGAAAGGTTTGGTGTTCCAAAACTTCCAGTTATAGTATAGTATCATTGCTACCTTGCTTTAATTATAACTAATTGTAATTAATTTAATAGCCCTTGTGTTAATTGCATTTATTACTGTCACGAGTTGACTTTTACATTCATAAGATTGTGCTCTTTTGGTATGTGATCACCGAATTGAGCCGAGGCTCCAAATCTGTACTTTAGAGCTATATTAATATTTTACCATTTTTTAATGTAGTGCATTAAATTATCTGGCATCATATAATGATAACATCAAGAGGTGCATTTCCGATGTCAGATTAACTTTTGCATGCTAATAGCAATCTATATTTACGCTGGTTGGCACAATGATATATTTGCTAAGCAAATTAGCTATTGTTATAGCCCTTCCAAATTGTAAGTGTGCAAGTTGCCGCGAGACATAAACAAATAACACTACTACAAAAATAACCAAAGAAACCTACTAAAAGAGACCTGTTCTGTGGGACAACTGGTTTCTTACATTAATAAGACCTGATATTACAAGTAGCAGGTCTCTTATGTCAAAATTAATGGCAGGAAAAAAATAAAGAGACCTGCTGTTATCGTCAACAGGTCTCTTTTATATTTTATATTTTTTAATTTAAATATACTAGAATCCAACCACCTTATTAAGGATAGAAAAATCAACCCACATCTGTCAAAAAAAAAAAAAATCAACTCATTCTCACCAGAGCACCTTTCACCCTCGACTCACTGTCCCCTCTGTCGTCGCCCACACCGCCGCCCACAGACACTTAACACTACCCTCTGGTTCTCCTCTCTACTGTCAGTACGGTTCTCCCGTCACTTGAAGTTGCTTTCCGGCGTAACCTCGAAGATTAAACTCCGGCGAGTTCCACATCCACGCGACTTTAATCTCCGGAAACTTCCCCATTCATCGCGACCCTAACCTCCGGCGACTGCTGACTCCACCCTTCCCTTCCTACACTCGGAGCTCCCCTCACCCTAAGGTACCATCAATATCCTTTTTCTCCATATTAATTTTTTTTCTAGGGTTTATCGGCTTGACATTTGCACTCCTCTTACAATGTCTGGGCTTCGTTAATTTACAATTAAGGATAAGAAGCAAAATTTTATGTTAAAGATAGCAATCATACACCCAGATTTTGGTATTAGTAATTTTTCAATTTTTATAATCAATTGTTTGTTGTTATTAAATTTTGATTTCTATACAAGTATGTCATTTTAATTTATCTACTACTAAATTTTTTGAATGATCATATTTTTGTGATTTTGGGTGCGTGAAATTATAATGGAATGAAGTCTAATTTATGTTGTATTTATGAAAAATTGCCAAATTGAGTGAAAAAGTGAGTAGTTTTATGAATTAGATCTTCAAAGATTAAGACACTTGAGCATTGGCAATCTGACTTGCATTTTTCTAGCTGCAGTTGCTGTTACATTAGTCTTATAATCATATTCTTAGGTCAAAGGAACATTGTGTAATGGAATTTGATGAATGACTTCAAATAACAATATCATGTTTTTGAAGTTTGGACCTTGTATTTGCATATTATGTGTAGAGAGATTAAAGAGGTTGTGATGAAATCCAAACGAGGTACAAGCAATGAAGACAATTTAATATTTTATCATTGCAAATCCCTATCTCTAATGAGAAGGGTGAAGTTAAACTAACCTCCCCTGCTACACCTGTTTGATTTTTGGTCTTTTCGTCTTTTTTTTTTTTTGGTAAGTAAAGAATTTTATTATCAAAAGTAAAGAGTTACTACCCATAAAAGTAGCAACTACAAGAAATGAAAGTGCAGTACATGCCCTCTGGGCCAAAGAAGCAACAAAACCAAAGCCCAAAGGCAAAACAAAGATAACAACTACGGAATCTCTAACTCCCAAAGGGAGAGAAAACCAGAGCTACATCCAAAAGTGGGTAAAAACCCATACATCCAAAGATATCAAATAAGGTGAATATAAAAAAGCATCAGCTTAGCTTGAAAGCATACACCATCCGCCAGCATCATCATAAAAACAGCTTGATAACAACACCACAGTCAGCCTGCCAGGACAGAACAATAGCATGCATGCACTACAAACCAGGATAAAAGATCGCAGCCATGAACCATCATCTAGCAGCACAAAACATAAGGAGGCTCAAGCAAGACAGAGAATACGATGCTACGACAAAGGTAGATCAACAGCTATCACAATGGAAGAGGGAAGAGAAGGAGTCCTGGCAGAAACAGCAAACAAGGTAGCAATAGGAATACCACCCACCATACAATCCAAGCCCTCAACTAGCACCTCATGCTAGAAGACAGCACGAAAAATAAGGCCTCAACCTACTACCCACCAAGCAAGCTAAATATCCAAGACTCACCCATGACAACCAACTTCCACCATGCCAAGACAACAACAGAAAAAACACACCACCACCAGCATCACCATAAAGAACAGCTTGATAACAACCCCATCATCAGCTTGCCAGGATAGAACAATAGCATACATGCAGTACAAACCAGAGCAAAAGATCGCAGCCATGAACCATCATCCAGCAGCACAACCATAAGGAGGCTCAAGCAGAATAAAGAAACATAAGATGCCACGGCAATGGTAAAGCAACATTACCATAACAGAGGAGGCATAAGAAGGAGACCTGTTAGAAGCAGCAAGCAAGGAAGTAATAGGAACACCACCCACCATACAATCCTGGTTATCAACTAGCACCTCATGCTAGAGAACAACACTAAAAATAGGGCCTCAACCCACTACACACCAAGCAAGCTAGAGTAACCAAGATTCACCCATGATGACCAACCTCCACCACACCAAAGTAATAACAAAGCAAATACTATCCAATAGCATCAACATAACTTGATACCAACCCTGTAGACACCCTGCCAGAACAGAACTATATCATACATGCAGTACAAACCAGAACAAAGGATCGTAGCCATGAACTATCAGCCAGCAACACAGACACAAGGAGGCTCAAGTACAACAAATTAGCAAAAGATGCATAGATAGATATAGAACAACATCCACCACAGCATGACCAAGACTCAACCATACAACCAACCTCCACCAAATAAAACAAAGAAACAATTTCTACCTGCATCACCATAAAATCCGCTTGATAACAACCCCATAAACAGTCTGCTAGGACAGAACAATAGAATACATGAAGTATAGCCCCGGACAAAGGATCGCAGCCATGAACCATCAGCCAGCAATACAATCACAAGGAGGCTCAAGCAAAGCATGAAGCATAGGATGTCGAGACAGAAAAAAGAGCAACAACTACCACAATGAAAGAGGCATGAAAAGGAGTCCAGGCAGAAGCAAGAAACATGGTAGCAATAGGAAAACCACCCAACATACAACACATGCCATCAGCTAGCACCTCATGCTAGGACAACAATAAAAAAATAGGGCCTCATCCCACTACACACCAAGCAAGCTAATACCAAAACTCAACTATGACAACCAACCTCCAGCAACTATCCACCATCAATAGGCATAATCATAAAATCACGGCTAAATAACAACCCGGAAACTAATTTTCTTGGACAACGGCATGGCAAGCATACAATACAAACCAGGACAAAGAATCGCTACCATGGACCGTCAACCAACAATACTAATCACTAGGAAGCTTAAACTGAAAAAGCAATACAATATGCCTAGATAGTAGTTACAACCAAAGAAGCATTCCCAAAATACACAAAGATAACCAAAAGGAAGTAGAAAACAAAATCAACCTTCCTTTTACAGATGGAGAACAATAGGGAATACCTCAACCTCTACAAATATGCAATTCAAGAAGGCTGCCACCAACCCTCGAGTTCACCCTCCAACCTGAAAAAGAGAACCCAGGAAACATAGCAGCCTCTAGCAATAACACGCCAGCCAGGTAGGAAACCCACCCACCCGCAAACAAACCCAAACACAGAAAATCAAGGGCTGAATCGCAGCCCCAACAGCCTTGAATCAGCCTAATAAACACCCATTTCAGCGATGCCCAGCAACCGAAAAAAAAAACAGAGCATAGCCCCGTCAACAAAACACTACTCAAGGGTTGAAGACAACCACTGAACTGGACCCGTCACCAGCAACAAAGACCAGACACAGCCACCGGTAAACTAGCCCGAAAATCAACAACATACTTTGAGCAAGAACCCAGAAAATCGAGGGTTCGAATTATCCCCAAACACCCAGAATCAGCCTCACGAATGAGCTTCCAGCGAATACCAGCTACTGGGAAAAGGATACGACTCAAACCATCGCCCAGCTACCAACCGGAATCAGCCTAGCAAATGAAAAATCGACACTTTCAAACACAATCCGGCTGCTGGGAAAGAATAGCATGAAACACCGCTCAGCCGCCACGCCAACAAGAACAACCACCGGAACACCGAACTTAGACCCTTCTTCAATCGAGCAAAGAACCCAGAAAATCGAAGAAGGAACCAAAAACTTCGCAGCACCGTCCAGCAGCTTTGTTTGATTTAGAAATCAAACCCCAAAAACTCAGAAACAACCCAGCAAGAGAAAAATTAAAACTTTAAGCACAACCCGACCAAAACAGCCGCCGCTTCTTCAACCTTGAATGAAGGTCGAATAACAGACCTAAGTTCCAAAAGCCCTTAGGGTTTGTATTTTGACATTGAAGAACAAGAAAAAAGCTTCTCAATCTAACCCTTTGAAGAAAGAATCCGATGAAGGCAACCACCGGGACCCTTCTTCAAAGGGCTAGAGAGAAGCTAGAGTTTCTCTCTCTAGAACAAAACCCTGGTCTTTTCGTCTTTTCGAATATCTAACTTGACTAATATATGGAGTAATATGTCCATTTAATGTGTAAGTTTTGCTAACCTTCTTTGCTTATTATAATCACGTCAGTAATTTTCTGTCATGGTTTTGTTATGCTCACTGCCTATATTTCCTTATTTAGGCTGTATACACTCAATTTTATAAACAAAAATGCATATGTGCCATGCTTTTGGGATTAAAAAACAAATCTCATTGATTTTTATAAGTTATAAGTTAACCTTTGTCTTGTTTAAATCTTTATGTTATATTGTTGTGTGTCTAAGTCATCTCTATATTTCTATTTTTTATTTGTTTATCTTTGTCTTATGCCTTCCTTTGTTGTGTTTATATATATTTGATCAGCTCATATTTTGTCTACTAGTTAGGTAAGCTTGCTAAGTTATAAGTGGAATTAGATTTTTAGTAATTT